TGTGTATATACATATACATATATATGTGTGTATATACATATACATATATATGTGTGTATATACATACACATATATATGTGTGTATATACATATATATGTGTGTATATACATATATATATATATATATATATATATACATATATATACACACACACACACACACACACACACACACACACACATATATATATATATATATATTTAGAGAGAGCGAGAGATGAAAATAAAACTATAAAAATCAGCACATAATTGTAATGTAACCTAAATTATTCATTCATATGAAACATATATTATACGTCTAGATTTTTAAATACTGTTAAATGTTTTTCTTCTTTTGCGACTTTTTAATTTCCTGTTGTTTAAAACCAAGAAAGACCCTCCATTTAAAATCTAAGAGAATACATTTTTATTTTAACCACACAATGTGATTTCACACAAAGACACAAAAAGTTGTGACTGTAATTTTTTTCCCAGCAACATTCAAGTTTATGTGAATAAAATTCTACATTGTGGAGAAATAATGAAACAGGGATTACAACTTAGTTAAATTAATTCACCGAAACTGTCAGTAGCCTTTCGCACTTCACTTGCTTTACCAGCAGATGGCAGTGTACATCACCCTTCACTTTGACTCAAAACACTTTTGACATTGGAAAAAAAAACATAAAATCATAAAATAAAAATCTATAACACATCACACTTCAGGATATTCAAATTCCTTCCAAATCTCTCTTGTTTTATCAACAATGTGATTTTAGGCCAATTGCCCTGGTTCTGCTATTAAAGCCAACCTATCAAACGTGGATTCTGATGGTCGCTCGTGTGCCCAGGCACTGACTGATCTTCAGGAGCAAAGACAAACTATTTCTATGATTGCAACGTTAACTTCCACACAGATCAGACCAGTTTCAGACAAAATGAGGAAACTGGTAAAGGTACTCCTCATTGTGACTCTGATGCAGCGTTATTCAAACTTCTTCAGGTGGTTGTAGAGGGACTGGACGTAAGTGAACACACACATGGGGTCTGGCTTGTCTCCCATCTCCAGCATGTCGTCCACCTCGATCAGACGCAGACAGTCGGCCTGCTCCCTGAAACAAACAGACGTCATTACAGAAATACTAAAGAGAATTTTAAAAATAGAGACTTTACAAGCACTAATAAACACTGAAAATATCATTAGAACAAGGAATCACTTTTTATCTTTATTTTAAATGCCTCCAAGTTCATTTAAAGGGCAATTTAATGAATTTTCTGATCTAAATAACTACAATCTTTCCTGTTACTTGAGATCTTTAAGTTTAAAAATGTGGCATCAGCCCTAAAGGTCATGATTCTTACTCTGCTGTAGTGAAGGCCAGCTCCAGGTTCTGTTTGCGGTTTGACGAGTTCAGATTGTTGTAATCGAACTCCAACGGGAAGAAGGAGTGGACCAGAGCACAGAAGGCCATCCCATCACTCCAGCAGGAGGAGAAGTTCTGAATGTCGACGTTCTGGGAGACAATGAGAAGAAATGGCCTGATTTACTCCACATGTATACATCTCCAGAACAAGCAGCAGAGAGGAGACATCAGTGTCCCATCATCTGACCTGATATCCGATTGTTTTGGAGCGACACCACTCCAGGAGGATCTGTTTAATCCCGCTGGCGCTGGACACTCCGAAGCTCTGGGAGCGCTTCAGTTTGGGCTTGGAATCCTTGGCTCTGTTTGAGGAGAGATATGGAAAGGTTTAGAAATTCAGTTGGGATAAAGTGAAGAACATCTGGATCACACCCACTTCAGAGGCTCCGAGTTCATCCTTTCAAACAAGGCCCGTTTGGCCTGCGCCCCGTTGGAGCGCAGAGGCGTTTGGGATTTCGTGGCGTCCTGCTTCAAGTCGAGCCCGCTCGATTTGCTCGATCTGCGTTTGCAAAGAAAACGAAACAAAGCTTTCGGGAGGCAAACGGGTTACGTGTGACCCTAAATACGACTTAAGTGAGGGATTTCACCGTACTTGTCCAGTTTGGGCGAGAGTCCAGCTTTTATAAACGATTTGGACGGAAGCAACTTCTCTGTAAGGGAATTTTTAATTTTTTTTAATCAGAAAGGATGAGTGGGAGAGCATGAAAAAAGACAAGAAATTATAAACCACCAAAATAAAAGCTAACAAAGGAACTTTAAATACCTGCTGGTTGAGGAAAACTCACACTTCTCTTTAAACTGGGGCTGGGAGTCTTCAGAACTGGAGCTGAAATGATGTAAAGAAAAAAGACGAAAGCTATTCACTAAATACAGATTTCATTTTCTGTACTAAAATAGAAAACAAAAGCTACTTTCAGCTTTATTTCGAAAGCAGATGATGGAGTTTGAGATCAGACTCACTCCGTTTAAAGGGATAATCTCCAGGTTTTACAGTTGGGTCCAGAGATGCTGAAAGAGACTGAGCTGGTCCAGCTGATGGAGCAGAATCCGTGTTAGGTTTGGTCATGGCAGACAGAGGCAGGTGAGACTTGGGTTCACTCACGTCTAAGAAAAAGGAAATCCTTTCAAATGTGCTTATTTAAGACCTGTTTCCTAACTTTGGTAGGGATTAACTCACCCCCTCTAAACAAAAACTCACTTTGCTTTGTTGTCTGTGACTCTTGTATTGAAGGATTTGGTACTGAAGTGGGAATCTGATCGGATTTAGATGCAGATGGAGCCTCGGAGCTGGTTCTGGCTGCAGCTGTGAGTGGGAGGTGAGAGACAGACTCAGAGTGATCCTGGAAGTTCAGATCCTTAGATCCAGATGTTCCTTGAGAGAAGGTGGAGCTACATTAATAGAAATCTGTTGTCATAAGCTCATAAAAGGACTGTGGTTAATGACTTTGGTGCCTTCTTAATATTAAAGGAACATTTCAGGCATTTTAAAGCGTGTTTCTGAGTGAAGCTTTTTTCCATTAAAGCTTCTGAACAGCCTCTGTTTAACCCCAACCTTTAAGGACTGATGAGCTAACTGCTAGTCGAAGCTCAGCCCATTGTTCCTGCAACATTTTTACTCTTTTTACATTGCATGTAAAAGAACCAACAACCAACCAACCAACCAACCATTTTCTTTATTAACTCATTCACTGTCTGCCAGCCGTTTCCTGATCGCTAAAGCCCTTCGCTGCCAGCGTTTCTCACCGTTTTTACTGTTTTTTTAAGAGTGACAGAACGTTGCGCGCTAGCATGATGTCGACGCCAAAACAACCAAAACAAAGCGGAGACTCACCTCTTACATCAGGAAGAATCCACGTGTTTCGAGAGTTATCCGTTCTTTCATAATCCGTTGTCGAATTGTGATCGGCAGAAGCTTTTCCGGTTCGCTCCTCACTTTTTTTTACAGCAGCGGCCCAAAACGATCTCCTAACACATGGATGTTCTGCTTCCTGATCATGTGACGTGTGACGTATGCGGATGATGATCGGCTTTAGAGCTGAGATGTTTGTTCTCACGGTGCGGGGGCTCGTTCTGATGCCCACACAGTAAAAACATGCCAATTTGGCATTGACCGGTTGGATTTAAAATGACGACTTTAGTCGTCAGTGGCAGTGAATGAGTTAAGGACATAAATCTAAAAGCCTATAAATAAATGAAAAATTGCTGAGCAAAAAAAAAATCACTATTTAAATAAAAGTTGCAGAGGCTCACCATTTTCTAAAAAAAGTATCAAAAGTTTTCGTAGATGCTTTCGTGAAGACAGCAACAGATAAATTAAACTCTTATAAAATGCTAAAACGATAAATACGTGTTTGAAATTTTCTCCACCCCAACATTTTCACTGGCTCCATCTGGACCCCCTGTAAAGCTGTTCTGGGGGCACCTCTGAACAGGAAATCAAACCCTGCAGGAATTTCCTAATATTTCTGCAAAAACAATAGATCATTTATTGAGAAATGGATGGCAGTCTGGAGATTACACAATGTAGATTTATGAGACTGGAGCTGTTTTAAGATGACGTTAATCTTGGTCATCAAAGCAGTTTCTCCATATTTAGGCCATTCAAGAATCCTTCCGAAGTGAATATTTATAAGGTTTACTCAGAAATACTCCATCTAGAGTAATGATAGTTTCCATAATCTCCATCACTTTAGATTTTCTGACTGACCTCCCATAAATAAACGATCAGCTGAGGCTTTGCGTCCCGACGCTGGAGACGGAAGCGGTTTGGCGGTAGGAGAGTTCTCCAGACTGGGTTTGGTTGTCATGGCGGTGACAGGGAGGTGGGGTTGTGGCTCGTCTGCAACTGAAACAAAAAATGTAGATTTCAAACTCGACCAGCTAATTAACGTGGTTGCAGCTTTCTTCATGCTTGGTTTCACTGGCATTCAAATAAAATGCAGGCATTTCTGCATGTTGTTTCTAGCCCATAGAAATCTAGACAAACTGTAGCCCCATGGGTCAGCCTAGCCATAATCTATTGTAGCCCCAGCAGGTCTACCACTGGCCCTAATGGTTTTGTGTCTAGCCAATCACAGCGCTCTGTTTGCACAGAGACATTGGGTGGTTGTAGCACCAAAACTGCTATCGAAAAAAAAATACCTACGATGGCGTCTGATCAGGAACAGCACTTGTTTGAAACGGTCATCTACTTTGGACAGTTTAGACGTGGGCTTTACTTAAGTAAAGTACTTAAGGTGGACTGCCCCGTTGAGTCTGTAGTGATGAACACATCATGCTCTGATTGGTCCTAACACTGTCCAACTGCATGTGGAGGCAACTAGTGGCAACTGGTGACATTTTCTTTTGTGGGGCACATTTATATGCCGCTAACCATATATCACCACTAGGGGACGCCAATTTACCACTCTTATGATAGAATCTATGTTTTCTACCTCAACAATGACGCAAAAAAAAAAAGGCTGGTAAAAAAAAGTTAAATACACATTTTGAGAAACACACACAGTAGCAACAATGCAACATGACAGCTGTTTAAATGAAAGCCCAGACTCTCCTCTTTACGAATAAGCACCATTACTCTACCTGCAAAACTCAAGGGACTCAGCAGGAAAACAAGCAAAGCTAATTTGGGCGACGGTGGCACAGGAGTTAAGAGCTCGCCCCGTAATCGGAAGGTTGCAGGTTCGAGCCCCGCTCAGTCTGTCGCTGTCGTTGTGTCCTTGGGCAAGACACTTAACCCACGTTGCCTGCTGGTGGTGGTCGGAGGGACCGGTGGCGCCAGTGCTCGGCAGCCTCGCCTCTGTCAGTGCGCCCCAGGGCAGCTGTGGCTACATTGTAGTTCATCCCCACCAGTGTGTGAATGACTGATTGTGTTGTAAAGCGCCTTGGGGGGTTCCAGGACTCTAGAAGGCGCTATATCAAATACAGGCCATTTACCATTTAATTTCATGAAGTCAAAAGCAAAATTTGAGTCTTAGCTTTGCTTGTTTATAGTCATAATAATCCATGCTATAGTAAAAAAAACAAAACACTAATTTCTTGTAATCTTATGTCCCATTGTCACACCATGCCGATTCCTGACTGTCTTGAGCTTTTTTTTTTTTACCTGCTGGAGAGTGTTTACAAGTCTCTGATGCCACATTCACCATTTTCCACATCTTACTTAATAAAAAAAAAATAAATAAAAACTCCACGAGGTGCACTCAGCTGCTCTAAAACAAACAAAAACTGTAAAGAGCTTCCTGTTCCGGGTGAACATCCTGAGCTGAGTTATAGCTCCATCCAATGGTGTCTTCAAGTCACACCTGAAGACTCACCTTTCTAATTTTGCTTTTAGATTGTGATTTTTATCTTTCCTTTGTTGCCGCTTTGATCTGATTTACTGGCTTTTATTTAGTCTGTTCTATCTGTTTGTTTTATTTGCATTTTATGTTTCTGCTTTTATGTTGGGAGGTGCTTTGATCAGCTCCCATGCCATTTTTAAATGCGCCGTATAAATAAACTTGGTATGGTATAGCGCCAGTTATGGTGCAGGTCGATGGTAAAGATTGCTGCGACCGTAAAGGAACAGGAAATACGTCACCAGAGGATTCGATAGTGGTAAAAGTGTGAGAACATTTTTAAACTACACTTAAATACAGATTAAACACATCACTTATAGTCTGTCTGGTGTACAGATCGTTTAGTTTAATTTTCATGTTTTAAAAAAATATCTTCTTGCTGAGACTGGCGGTGCCCTAGCGCCCCCTTTGGACAAGCCGCCACTGTTTCAAATACAACCGTAGATTCCGCCCCGAGTCCGAGCTTTGTCCAGGTGTCATGGCCAGCATGGCTGTAGTTTTTGGGGGGAACAGGGGGACATATCTCCTCCAAGTTTTCCAAAGTCAGTTTTGGTCCCCGGCACTTTTTACCGTTCAAAAACAACATTACGCTATAGGAGCAGGCAGGGGCGGATCTACAAAATTATTTATGGGGTGGCAGAAGAGGGGCAAACATTTTTCTAGGGTGGCCATTCATATATATATATATATATATATATATATATATATATATATATATATATACACACACACATATTTATATATATATATATATACACACACAGAGAGAGAGAGAGAGAGAGAGAGAGAGAGAGAGAGAGCGAGAGAGAGAGAGAGAGAGAGAGAGAGAGAGAGAGAGAGAGAGAGAGAGAGAGAGAGAGAGAGAGAGAGAGAAACACGTTTTCCTTTTTATTTTCCCAGGATTTGAATATTCATTTGTTTTGGGTCCTCATTTAATAAGCTTAAAGGCCCATCATGAAAATAAAACACATAATAAAATTATGTCCTTCCTACAACAGCTGAATGCGGCAGTTTCCATGTTGCTCAGCAAAACAATTTACACATTCATCAAGGTCCAAAGATTTTGCCCGTTTTGATTCAATGCTGAGTACAGCCTAGCTTCATAGTCTTTTCTCTGTCAAAGGAGACTGCAAATAGGTCTTTATGAGCCAGACAGTTGAAAAACGTTGATTTTTCTTGAATTTATAGCTACCAGCTGGGGTGGCAGCAGCAGTAGCAAGGTTTTCTTTTAGGGTGGCAACTGCCACCCTATGCCACCCTTATAGATCCGCCCCTGGGAGCAGGGATGAAAATGACTAACATGGTGAAAAACAAAGTTGAATTGAAAGTATTAGTTTTTTTTTTTTTACTGCCACCTGTGTACTTGGCTGTTCTGCATTCCTGCCGTTGCAAACAAGAGCCTGTGGTTTTATACGTATTTTTTGTATACTTAGTGTAAAAGGACTCTTCACCTCGAGGCCGGTTGAGTCCCCCCCACTTCTAAAGTCAAAACTACGTCCATAGAGGCCAGACTATATATTTGCATATATAGGATGGCTTGCCAGGTTACATTGTTTTACAACAAATGTATAAAAACGATAATTTAACACCTGATATTTAACGGACGGAATAAAGAACTGACCGGGTGAGCTGGGCGTTTCCATTGCTGAGGACTCCTGGTGTGGTTTGATGAAACATCGATGGGATTGAGAGAAAGTTTCAGCCCTTTGGGATACATCTGAATTTTCTGAAATATATCCTGAAAAGAAAATCAAGAACTAAGAATGAATTCAGGTTGAGAAGTTTTCTGAGGATCTTTGAAGCCGGAGGAGGAGCCGCCTACCCTTCTGGTTTTCTGAGATCGTGGCAACGTCCGTCACATTTTTTCCTCCTTGTGTAATTGTGCCCTGAACAGTAAAAACATTCAATTAAAAGACAAAAACAAACAAACTGGCATTTATGTTAATAATTAAGTATGAATAATACTATGAAAGAAGAAAATTTTCAGAGTTGTCTTTCAATGATGAGTTTTGTAAAAACTGGAGTACGATTCCTCTCACCACCTTCTGTGGTGAGGATTGATGGAGCGGTTTTGTGAATGTGTTTCTCCCGTGTTTGAATGCGTGTTCTTCAGCTGTTAACAGCTTCTCCTTCTATGACAGCTGTGGCCAACAAATCCCGGTTCCCAGTCAGAGCTATTTTAGATTTAGCAATCTGCCCCTTTGCAAGAGTTTCCGCTGCACTCTTCTTACATCCCAATATAACCCCAAATAGATGCTTCGGAAAGTTAGCCTGAGCCATACAAACGGTGCCCAGAAGGGGCGTTAGAGGTTTTTGCTTCCACGTGGTGGAGAAACAGCGTTCTAGCCACCGTGTGATAAACCCGCACCATGGGAGGTCATCTCCACGCTCATCTGTGGGCTCCATGGTAACGGCGGTGTCACAGTCTGTCTGTCTTACTCTTCTAATCCCCTCAAACTCAGACTAATGTTTGCCGACTGCGTCCATTTGGGTTCAGCTTACGAACACACAAACACTTCAACAAACACAGACGTCTCCATCATGTCAGAGAACAACTGCCCCCTTATGTTAAAGGTGCTGTAGGAGATGTTTATGTAAAACATTTTTGGCCATTTTAGCAGAAATGTTCTTGTTGATGGTAACCAATCATTTTAATCTTCTCTGAAATGAAGAATCCTGGAAAAATCTCACCCAATCATTGTCAACGTCCCGTTCCTAATGACTGAATCCTGATCCATCCATCAAAACGCCCTTTTTGTTCCATGTCTTGAACGATGAATTGTCTCTCTAGTAGGCTTTTGATGCAGGCTGACACCTTCTAACATTTTATGTTGACATTTTTACTAATATGTTTTTTAACCTATTTTAAGATTGCAAATGAAAAAATTACCCATAAAATAATTTTAGCATTTTTTTAAATAAAGAAAATAAAATTTTGCAGCTTTTGAGGAAAATAACTCGACAATTTTGAGTAACTTGACACTCCAGTTGTAAAGATTTAAGAACACGTCGATGCACTAAATGGTAAATGGTATTTGTAGAGTGCCGTCTTGGGGTGCTACAACCCCCCAAGGCACTTCACAACAACAGTCAGTCATTCACACATTCACACACTGGTGGGGATGAGCTACGATGTAGCTACAGCTGCCCAGGGGTGCACTGACAGAGGCGAGGCCCACCATACTTTGGCACCACAAGTCCCTCCGACCACCACCAGCAGGCAAGGCAGGGTCTTGCCCAAGGACACGACAGCAGCATTCTCTGGTCGGTACCGGGATCGAACCAGCAACCTTCTGGTCACTTGAGAACCCGCTCTACCTCCTCAGCTACTGCTGTCCCTAAAACATCGTGGTATTTTGTGTTATGATACAGAACCAATTTTTAAAAGCATTGTATACATTTTGAATGAGATTTTACAAACAAACAATTACTGTATTTATTTTGCGTGGTGAAAATCACACTCTGACCACTAGGTGGCAGCAGTTTTTAACACCTTCCTTCCGACAGAGCAACAAGGGCCCAGCCCCAGTACTCGCCCTGCAGCCTGCGCTCCTCAGCGAAGTGCACTTGGAGGAGGTGTGCAGTAAAGCTTCAAGTGCATAGTACTACAGTTACCAAAAGTCCCACCTTCAGTTAATACAGTCATTTCGTCACCAGTTACTATTAATCTGGCTCTTTTAAATGTTCGCTCTCTGCTCAACAAAACATTTTTAATAAATGACCTGATTTTAGATCGTAATCTTCACCGTCTGCTTTTAACAGAAACGTGGCTGAGTTCAGATGCAGCTGTGGTTCTCAGAGGCATCTCCACCAGATTTTAATTTTTCAAAAGGGGAGGTGGTACTGATTTTATTAGTTCATCAATTCTTTCTGCTAAACCAGTTTTATTTGATCATTTTACCACCTTTGAATATAGAGCAGCAGTTTTTAGCTCTCCTCAGATTTTATGTGTCACAGTTTATCGGCCTCCTAAACAGAGTGCCATTTTTATTCAATAATTTTCAGAGTTTTTATCAATCCTGCACACCTCCTTTGAAAGGATCATTTTAGTCGGTGATTTCAATCTACACATAGATAATTCAACTGATTCTTCTTCAAATGAGTTTTTAAATATTCTGAGTTACATGGATTTTAGTCAACATGTCCTGCAGCCGACTCACAGCAGAGAACACACCCTGGACTTGGTCATCACCCAGGGCCTGTCCACCAGTGTGTCCTCTGTTGTTGACTTGACTGTCTCTTACCACTACTGTGCATTTTTTAGCATCACCAGTTTTATCCAGCTGGAACCCTCTGTGAGAACTGTAAGGAAGCGTCATCTCACCCCTGAAGTGGCTGCAGGTTTTCTTGAAGTTTTTAGAAAGATCCCTCCCACTCCGGTAACTGCCTCTTGTGATTTTACTGTCAATGATTTTAACAGTAGACTGAAATCCGCTTTCGACCTGCTCGCTCCACTTAAAATCAAAAGTCTATATTTAAAACATGCTTCACCGTGGAGAAATGAAGATCTAAAGAAACTAAAGAGAAACTGCAGGATTGCAGAGCGGAGATGGAGAAAGAACAAAACAACTATAAATCATCAAATATATACAGAGCTACTTAAATCATATAATAACGCAGTGAGAAATTCAAGACACGCATACCTTTCCAAACTCATTCTAGACAATAAACACAATCTCAGAATACTTTTTTCCACCATAAACAACATTTTAAACCGTACATCCAATTCACTTCAGAAAACACCCTCAAATGCTCTCTGTGAGGAGTTTGCAGCCCACTTCAGAGGGAAGGTAGACACCATCAGACGGAATATTTTACCCTCCATAAGTAATAAGGTCTTAGATAAATCTGGATGTGTGTCTATACCAGAGGAAACACTGGACAGGTTTGTCCTGTAGAAGCTGAGACTCTTGATAAAGTTTTCACCTCAGTGAGACCCACCACATGTGTTCTGGACCCAATTCCAACTTTTAGATTCAGATTTTAACCCTGATGAACTGCTCCCTTCAGACGGGGGTCTTTCCTGCTGCCTTTAAAGGGGCGGTGGTGAGGCCCCTGTTGAAGAAGAGCAATTTAGATCTTAATGAATTAAACAATTATCGACCGGTATCTAACTTACCATTTTTAAGCAAAATTTTAGAAAAGTTGGTTTTAAATCAACTAAATGATTTTATAAACACTAATAATGTCCTAGAGAAATTTCAGTCTGGTTTTAGGGTGAACCACAGCACAGAGACGGCCCGTTTGAAGATTTTAAATGATTTTAGAGTAAATTATGTTAAATGGAAGGTGACTGTGTTGGTTCTACTGGATCTAAGCGCTGCCATCTATACAGTAGACCACACTATTCTTTTAACTCGTTTAAAACGGATCGGCCTCTGGTTAACTTCCTACCTCACAGACAGGACTTTCATGGTGAGTTTGGATACCTGTTCCTCTAGGGTCCATGGGATTACATGTGGTGTGCCCCAGGGTTCAATTTTAGGCCCAGTGCTTTTTAATCTTTATATGCTCCCTCTTGGCGGGGTCATCAGGAGACATGGGGTCAACTTTCAGTTATGCTGATGATACACAGTTGTACATCTCCGTGTCTCCTGATGACTCTCGGCCAATGGATGCACTTTTTACTTGTATTTTAGACATTGAATCCTGGATGGCAGAGAACTTTCTCCAGCTCAACCAGGACAAAACTGAAGTTTTAGTCATCGGTCCTGAGGCCCAGAGAGAGAAACTTTTACTGAAATTACAATCTGTCTTTTAATCCATCTGAACAAGTGAAGAACCTGGGTGTGATTTTTGACTCTGAGCTGACTTTTATCCCATACATTAAAAACATCACAAAAATAGGTTTTTATCATCTAAAGAACATCGCCAGAGTCCGCCCCATTCTCTCTCGGGCCAATACGGAGATGCTGATGCATGCTTTTATCACCAGTAGGATAGACTACTGCAATGCCCTGTTTTCTGGTCTTCCTAAGAAAAGCATCTCAGGCTTACAACTTCTACAAAATTCGGCAGCACGTGTCCTGATGAAGACCAGGAGGCGGGAGCACATGACACCAGTTTTAGAATCATTGCATTGGCTCCCCGTATGTTTCAGGATCCATTTAAAGGTTCTTCTAATGGTTTTTAAGTGTCTTAACGGTCTTGGGCCTTCTTATCTCTCAGAATAGCTTTTACCATATGAACCCTCGCGGTCTCTGCGCTCCTCCTGGTCATCCCTAAAGTCAGGACACAAACTCACGGCGAGGCGTCCTTCCAGTGTTATGGCCCTCGCCTCTGGAACGAGCTGCCAGAGGACCTCAGGGCCGCAGAGAACGTTCATGTTTTTAAGTCCAGACTCAAGGTTAGCTTTTATCTAATTATTTACTACAGTTTTATTCCTCATTTTACATGATTATATGTTATTGCTTGCTTTGCATGTTTTATATGATTATATTTTAGCACAGTTTTATTATTTAGTATTATTATTTTACTGTCTATATGATTTAACTTATTACTTATTTTCTTACATTTGTCATTTATATTAGCTCTTTTATTTTCATATTTTTACTCATTTTAATCCAGTGTTTTCTCTGTAGGGGCCCTCTGCCCTGGGGGCGGTAGTCGACTTTAGTTTCCTGGGCCCTCTATAGGTAGTGTTTAAGTGGGTGGGGGTCTATGCTCCCCCTCCTCTGAGCGCCCTGACTTACTTGCTGTGGAAGACCTGATGCTGCCAGGGCAGCACTTTGTTTGAAAAGTGCTTTATAAATAAAATATAATTGACTGATTGATACACAAGTGAGCTAATAATAGTCAAAGTGGGACGGTGACATTGTGTTATCGACCACGACACATGCCGGAATGCCGGTCGCTGTTTGTGCTACTTTCTTTAAAAATCTTTATCAACAACTTTCAAACAAACAATTATTTTACAAAAAGTTGCATTCATTGTTGTCCACAGTAAATCGTGGTCTAAAACATTCAGGTAATGTGACATCGCCAGATCTTTGCTAGCACCCTCAACCCTACACCACCACCAATTCTTAACAAACATAAAAAATACCCATTTAACCATTTAGTCATGTGATATTTTTGTGTTTGTGTCTGCTTCGTCATCTCAAAGCCTCAGTGAGTCTCGGCGGATCGCTGCTCACACTGATCCAGGTTCTGTTGGAGGTTGCTTCCTGTTAAAGGGGAGTTTTCCTCTCCACTGTCGCTACATGCTTGTGTTGTTTTGGGATTGCTGTAAGTCTGTCAATTGGAATGTTTACATTGCCAAGTGACCTGGGATGACTCTTGTGGAGATTTGGAGCTACATAAATAAACTAAACTGAATTGAGTATATCTTTAATATTTTACTGATGTTTTCAAGCATTTATTTCTAAGAACATATGTTTGCAATAAAAATGAGCAAAGAAACTGGCTTTAGGAAGCATTACAAATATATTTTTATTTGGATAAATTAAGACCAGAATACTACTCAGATCTGCCTTCCCCAACTTTTCAGCTGATTAACTTAGTTAATTTCTCACCAGGCAGCAGTTTTATCTTTAGAAACTAAAATAAAAACACTTGTCTATCACCAGAATAGAAGATGAGATCAAATCAAGCCCTGATGCTGCAGAGATGGCTGCCATGGTGCTGGAGGGATAATCTGTCATATGTCAGGTGACTTCAGTGGACAGGAATGTTGGCAGGGTGTGTGTTTCGACAGGGCAGCTGTCTCTCTCTGGAGTGTGTGTGTTGGGGGATTTGAATTGACAGGGAAGCAAACGCAATTCAACTTTCCACTCGGAGACTTGAGACTCGTTTTGGCCCCGAGGTGAAATTCCTGAGTGATTAGGAGACACGGGTTTATTTATACACCAGTCTTTAAAGAGTGCGTGCAGGCGAGTGACGTCTTGCCTTGTTTTAGGAGAACCTTCTGGGTTATTGTTTGATTCTAGTTGTTGAATTTAAGGACCAAATCACCTCCAGACTCACCCCCGCCTCCAGTCACGCTTGCAAACAGCGTGCACTTAAGATAAGGAAGAAAGCTTTAGCGCTGCTCGTGTTTGGAGGCTCAGCAGCGCTGCAGCTCGGTCCCAAATCTCAAACCCAAAAATACACGTGCCCTTTGGAGGACCTGCTGTAAACAGAAGTGGGTCAGGAGGGACATTAGAACAATTAAGAGTACAAAATCTGTTTCTAAATGCACAAAAATCCAATAAACGGCATTTTAGTTTTGCAGCAGGTGGAGCTCGGCTGGTGAGGCAGTGCATTCACACTGGGGTCAAAGGTCACAGATTTAGCACACAAGCTCACTGCAGGACCCTTGGATTGTTCACCAGGTGCTCCATCGGTCAGAATCTGTTCTCGTGTCTTTTGTAGGAACATCTGATCAGTCAAAAGAAATAATCGCAGGTTTTTACGACCCTGTCAGGACCTTATTTATGGTGATTCAGTGAACTGATGGTCTCTGAGCGGTGTTAGAACATGGATGAGGGTTGAAAACTGTCTAGGAAAGAAATGTTAGACATGATGAAGTGATGCTATTCTTATCAGAATTAAGGATCAAGTTTAGAGTTCACTGAACCTGGAGGCCAACTCAAAACCTCAGAGACTAATGCAAACTTTCTGATGGTCCTACCGAGCTCTTCTTTGGACTTGTGCTGCTTTTTCTCACATTTCCGTTCTCGTATTCGACTGTGAAGGCCTTTTGTGTTGATTGCATGAGGAAAAAAACGACTTAATTTGAGAAAAGAATCGGTGGACGGACCATCTTCCCTTCAACTTTAGGAGCCTTATTTTTCATCTGTGAAACTTAAGAAGCTCAGCAGTTTCAAAATATTCATCTTGGGTAAAAGATGGACAGAAAACTAGTTTAAAAGTCTGAGAAGGTCTAAGAAACTCCTAATTAAGCTTTATTATAAGAAAGTTTTTTACTTTTAGAGGTAAAAATGACAGAAATGAGGAATAAGTCAATATTTTTACACAGAAAATCCCAGATTTTATTTCTTATTCATAACTTATTCTACGTTTTGTATCTTTATTGACTCGCCGAGCCACTTTTCCCTCCACGTGTTTAGTTTACCTTTATCAAAGATGGATTCATTCTTTTTAATCGTCTATTAAGAGTAATTCAGACGTTCAGTGCTCATCCTGCGGATTCTGATCCCGTGTGGGATGAAGTTTTGCACGTTTCTGGATTTTTGCCTCCACTGAATAAATACTCACATTAGTTTCTGCGTGCTTCTTTACTCTCCACGGAGCGGGGGCCGGGCTGTTTGGGGCGGCGGCCTGGCTCGCTCCTGAAGGTTCTGGCTGTGTAGAGACGGACCGGCTGGGTTGTGATCCAACACAGTTAACCGGGCCCGTCTGGTCCTCCAGGATTTTGGATTGTGTCTGCACACCCACCTGCTCCTCCTCATTCCTCCTCTTCACCTGAGGAGGACTGCTCTTGCATCCAGCCAGCTCCTCCACCAGGAGGCCAAGGGCCTCCAGCTTGGCTCGCAGCTGCAGGTTCTCCTCCTGCAGCCTCCTCACTGCCTCGCCCAGTGGCCCGGTGGATACACACAGCTCATCCATCCTTTGCTCTATGCGCTGCTTGAAAGCGCTCACATCCACGTGCACCTCCCTCACAGCAGCCTCCAAAGTGGCCTTAAACTCCACCAGAGCCTCGTGCACCACCGCCTCCTGAGCGCTCATTTTAGCCTCATCCATGCTCCTTCAGCGCCTCGTTTTCAAATGAGCAAACAGACCTCTGCTACTAAACTTTGTAAAGTCACTCAACACTTTCTACCGTCTTTTAAATAAATGCTCCAGGATGCAGATAAGATCAAGTCCTGTTGAGATCCACGGAGAAGTTTCATCATACATCGTCCATTTTTCTTCTCATCTGAGCAAAAGCAAGAGCACTTGTTATTTATAAGTCATGGAAAACTCAGTGACACACAGATTAAAAATGGCAGCGACAGATCAGCTTCTCAACAGGAGAGATCAAACCAACCTTTAGGAGGAATCCAGCCCAAGTAGCAGAGCGTTGTGTGCATCTGCTGCTGCTGGATGTCTGCCCCCCACTGCGCTGCCTCGGCCCCGTGTGTTGTCTGAACTATGTTTGGCTCCTGAGCTGTCATGCAACAGGTTTGCTTCTGTATTTTGGGACATAAAGGGGGTGGGAGAAGATAAAACGCCGGGAGGAGGAGCCAGAACTATTTAACGGTCCGCTCGTCCGTCAACTGCAGTTTGGAGTCGATGTAAAGAGGATCGGTTTCATTCTGCAGCTTCGAAGCAAAGAGCTGATTTATTCTGACGAGACGCCTCAAGCACACCGGAACAGATCAGGAGCCGGGGCTGGGGAAAGTCTGCAAATCAAATCCATCGGACCAAATGAGATCAGAAGCAATCAAATCAAATTCAGTTCAATCAAATCATCAAAACTAATTTAACATCAATTAAGTTGTTATTCTAGGTTACAAAACCAAATCTAATTAAATCAAATAAAATATAATTGGATGAAAACTAATTTAAACAAACAGTAAATTCAAAGTGAAATAAGCATCATTTTTAATTAAATTAACTAATTAAAATACTAAATTAAATTACTTATTCAAATCAAATAAGCTCTCTTTAGAAAAATTCAGTATTTGGCTTGAATTTGAACATTTTTGCTTCCATTTAAAAAAATTAAATTACTATCAGTAACGTGATCATTTTTATTTGTGCACTTGGATCCATTCAATCAGTTCAGAAATCTGTATAGAGATATGTTTAGATTGGAAAAACAAATATTCAGTTTTCCTATTTAGAAACTGTCCCAAACTTGAGATCTTGTCCTTGTCTTCAGATCCTGCAAATGACGTCCCCATCTTTTACTTTCATCTCTAAATCGTGACACAGTTCACTCGTGTTATCTTTATAATTACTTTTTTATGCATTTTATTATTAGCCACCGATTTATTCTAATATTGATTTGGTTTGAAAGTAGTTTGATTATTAAAGTGACAGTATGCATTTTTCCTGGCGATAAGGGGTAGTAGATACCTAAATCGTTGCAAGCAAGCCGTATTTTTGTGTTGGAGTAAGACCATACCAACGGATGCCTATTAGGGCCAAAAAGCCCTGGGGAGTGCAAACTTTAGCAAAATAACAAGCACATCAGACTCCCTTTCATCACATGCAACAAGTTAACAGGTAACGTGTACAACATTTAAGCATGGTGAAAGTTTTGTAGCTGTTACAAAGTAAATGCATTTTGTCCTCATGGGCTCCCGTAGAAAGAAACATGAAATCTAATATGGCGTTTCCCAGAGACTTGGGTCCAACCTCAATACTTGCACTGCGCCCTGCGATCTTCAGCAAAGTGCACTTGGAGAAAGTGTGCAGCAGGGTTAGAGTGAGTAGTACACAAATGTGCAACTAATTGCCGAATTGAGACCGGGAGCATTGCGTCATCAATCGCAACGCATTCCGGGATGCTGGTAGCTGTGAAACTTCTCAAAAACCTTTATTAACAACTTTCAAACAAACAACAAAACAATTATTTGAGATAAATTTTACTTCATTGCTGCTTTCTCTAAAACATTAAGAGCATCAACTAATCGTCCTAAAGTTAACTAATTTCGTTAGAAAATACATATTTTCAGAAAAGGAACTTGAGCCATTTCTCCCGCAGCTATGACTTGTGGGTAATAATACTCTTGCCCGAGGTCCGCATCGCTGCGGACTTGGGAGAAGTGCAGATTACGGGTGCAATAGGTGCGTGGTCAACTTCCGCACTTGAGAATCGGGACACCCTACACACTCGCACCCCTGGCCGGGAAGGCGCAAATGAAGGGCGCAAGTGCGAGTTTTGGGATTGGGCCTTAGACCCACTCCCATGTTTTTTTAGACCTGATTTTTATTGTTACATTTTACAAAGCCACCGATATTTTTCAACAACTGGGCATCATTTCATTCATTTTCAACAACATTTTGATGAATATTTCCAGAAATTAATGGTGAAAACTACACATTGTCACTTTAAAGTTACGATGTGTAGTTTTTACCATTAATGTCCGGAAAAATCCATTGAAATGTTGTTGAAAATGAATGAAATGATGCCCAGTTATTGAAAAATATTGTCGGCTTTGTAACATATAACCATAGAAATCATGTCTAAAATACATGATAGCGGGTCCAAGTCTCTGGGCAACGCGATATTAGATGCCATGTTTCCTTCTACAGAAGCCTGAGGACAGAACGCATTTACTGATTTGTAACAAACGCTTACAAAACTTTCAGCATTAATAAACGTTGTTCTTTTACACATTCACCTCTTCACTTGCTGCCAGTGATGAAAGGGAATCTGATGTTCTTGTTATTTTTCTGGAGGTTGCACTCTCAGGGTTTTTTGACCCTAATGAGCATCCGTTGATTAAGTCTTTCTCGAACACAAAAATAACACTTGCTTGCAATGATGTAGGTATCTACTGCCCCCATCGCCAGGAAAAATACACACTGTCACTTTAAGTAAATTACATTTTAACTGAAATGTTTTGGTTTCAAAGATTCAGAATCTTTGCAGCTTCTCCACTGATCTCAGCCTGAGTCAGCAGCACCTCTTGGTGGAAATATCAGGACATTACAGCTAAATGAGTCCATGAAGGATACCTGAACGGAAAATGTAAAGCAGGGGTGTCAAACTTAAACTCACACGGGGCCGAAATGAAACTCTGGGCCGGAGTCGAGGGCCAAACTTCATATTTTTTGAAAAAGTGACGGCAAATTTGCACATTTTCTTTATCAACATGTATGCAATTTTGAACCTTTAAATTTAGAAACAAACATATTTCTGCATTAACACTGAATGTGGAATAACCAAATTACACACGGGCAAGTCAGTTTTAAATAAAACGCATCAGTGGTATTCATTACTTGTGGTATAATCAGCATTTTTAAAATCTATTCAGGATTTATGTTTTCTTGTTTATTCATTTTTCTTATTTTTTATTCTCCTTTTTTTCTCCTGTAATACGTGTCATCGCTGCTGTGACGTCTAGCTTTCCCCACTGAGGAACAATAAAGGGATTTTCTATTCTATTCATCTATCTGCAGCCTTTCCACTTCCTGTTTACTGTAGGTTAAATCTTTTCTCACGGGCCAACAACAAAATAAAAATATCATTTTATCTTAAATGAAAATGCAACATCTCACCTGTTAACTTTCATGTTTTGGAGCAGAAAAAGAGCATAAAACCAACATATTTAAAGCTCAGTTTGCTCCACTGGTTTACTGTGATGCTCACCTGTTCCAGCCAGATACCTGCATCATGGGGTTGATCTGAGCTGAGGAGGAGACTCCTGTTGTTTTGTTCATCTTCATCATAATAATGACAACATTAGATGACAACAGGTGCTCACATAGGTTTGTGCTGATGAACATGTCTGAGCAGCTTGACCACGTTGTTGTGTGTCGGGGAGGAAACACAACCACAGAGTCGTGCGTGTTTGAGCGTGTCGCTGCTCGCTGGAGTTATATCAGCTCTGTCTGGAAGTTAGTTGGAAAACTTTCTCTTTCAGTCGTGAACACATTACTGAGCGGCTAGAATCTCCGTTTCTGGGCTTCAACGTCAGAAAACAGCTGAGTGAACTCGGCGCTGAGTGAGAGGAGTGTAGTTTGTCCGAGACAGCGGAGCTGCAGACACCGGCAGCAGACGGTGGAAAAAACACAAAGGAGGGGGCGCATCAGCTCCGCGTTGGCGCTTCAAAGCATCATGGGAGTTGAAGTCTTTGCGGTAAAATCGGCCAGCGGGCCAGTTTTAATATATTTTTGATATTTATCTCGCGGGCCACATAAAAATGTTCCGCGGGCCGCATCTGGCCTGCGGGCCTTGTGTCTGACATATGTGATGTAAAGCCTCTTGTTTGTGCTACCTTAAAAAAGCTGCCATTTTTCATTACTTGGGTTACATTTTGAATAATCATTGTTTTATTTTATCATTTTAGATCTTTCTGGCTTTAGCCAAATGTCCTCCAAAAAATGAATGATTCTCTAGTTTGAGTTCTGCAGACACTGAGCCAGTGCAAACAAACTGGAGACAAACACAAAACTATTGTCTATTAAACCAAATTTATTGAAGATTTAATGGATTCTCTTACTTCACAAATCACAGCTACAGTACAGAACTTCTCTCTTTTCATTAAACAGTTTAGTCTGGTTTCAGATAGGAAATTTTCTCAAAAAAGTCACTCTAGAAAAAAGGATAGATGCAATAAATCTGATATATGTGTGTGTGTATGAAAAATTTAAATGTTATCAAAAATAAGTGGGGCAGGAAGTGCTAACGGTTGTTAAGATGCTGCATTTAGATGAGTTGGGGATGCCGAGTGATTCGGACAGCAGGCCGTGACGTTTAAACTCCAAATCCCCATAAAAATAAAACAGACACGGCAAACAAGTTCAAGCCTAAAGCAGGTCTATGATTTAAAGGGTTCAAGCTCAAACGATACAACAGACACACTAAACAATTTAATTACTGATGAAATGCTTCAAAATATAAAACACTAAATAACTCTACAAAGATTTGGATTTAAACAGAATGGTGAGAGTTTAATCTTTAATCCAGGAATAAATGAACATCAGTTCTATTACTTTAATGATCTGACCAACTCTGTGATTTAATCCACCCCTAAACAAAACAATAACAACAAAGACTATAAATACAGCACAATCTGTAAACACAACCTGCCAACGTCGATCTTTCAAACTGAGTTTTGCTGATTTCACAAATAGATTTTTCACAAGGCACTGGAGACCAAGTCTGGTTCACTGGTAAAGATCATTCCCAGCAAGTGATTTTTATTTTTTTATTTCAGTGCTTAGAACTCAACCACATCCAGAGTTATTAGGATAGAATCCATTTCATCACCTCAACCCTGCATTCACGCATCACTGCAGAACGAACATTAAACGTTAAAGGTGGAGTAGGAGACGTTTTCTGCCCGTTGCTTGAAATGTTCTTCACATAAAGATGTCAACCAATAAATTAAATGTTTTGTCCAAAAATCCACCATCGTAGTCATCTCAGAAAAATACAGTTCTGGAAAACCCTCATCCAATCGCTATGAACTCAACAGGAAGTGAACCCAGAGCCAGGCTAGCTAGTTTAACACACTGAATGTTCGGTTCTGTTTGCAAGTTTTATTGAAGGAGTTTTTTAAAATGTTCTGTTTAGAGTCTGTTTCTGTTCTTGGTGGGAAACATTTAGGTGATGGACCTGTTGACTGTGAACGCAGCCTGTCCTCTGACGGCTGGTAGAGCTCTGCTAAGCGCGTGTGTGTGTGTGGAGAGCCATCCAATAGCGTAGAGTGAATCTGAGGAGGTTCGGGATGAATTCCCAAAATGTTGGTGGCACTGAGCTGTTGCAATTTTGAAGTTAGGAATTAAACAAGAAAGCCAAAAACTTCCTTCTTTTTCACTATAATAGACACTATATTAGCTAGCATGCTAAATTCTTGTAGTTACATAGGTCCACTACATTAAGAATTATGGCAGAGATGGTGCCAACCATGGGCCATATGCGTAAAGCTGAACCATCCTGAACAAGAATTGTGCATTCCTGGGGGGAGGAGCCTGAGAAAAGGGGGCAGAACCTTAAAAATCATGTTTTTTTTAAATAAAGTAGCTTGTTTAAACAGCATGAAAAACATCTCCTAATCCACCTTTAATCGTCATTCAGACTTAACACGACATTCAACAACATTTTTAAACCTTTTGCTTCACCTCAACTCCAGTTTAAATTCTGTCAGATCAGAAAAGAGGGAACAGCACAACCCTGAGTTACGACGCGAGGAGGAGAAAAATGACACAGAACGTGTTGGAGATGCACAAAGAAAACTTTAGAGATCTGAAAACCCTACATCTGACACGAGGAAAGCCATCGGCGTCATGGAGGAGACTGCTGATGAGTGACTGTACTGCCGTAACCACAGCACTGGGTGGACGACGTTAGCGTTAGCATGCTCAGACAGCTTCACAGCTGCTCGCTAGAGGATGCATCCATGTTCAGAATTCTCCCTGAGCAGCTTTTCGACGTTATTTTTTACTCTGTAGTGTAAAATGACTCCGATGACTCACTCCATGATGAGCTTTTGAGTAGAAAAATAGGCTAGTAAGAACAAAGTTCAGTTGACCTGTGCTAACTTTTCAGAAGTAGTAACATAACATATGGAAATGAAGTCAGATATAAATGTGACGACATACAATTTCACAACTGAACGTTTATCCAAAAATTAAGGCTGCACAATATAAAACAAAATGATGCGTTCTGTGCTAAAATCACTTTGATGCTCATAACAAAGTTCTTGTGCCGGCAGTTGGCATTTGGGAGCAGGGCTGGGGGCAAGTCCATGAAATGGTCAAATATTTATTTTGGGCATGCAGGTTGTGTCGATATTAATATGCAACAGCTCAGTTTTTTGTTAGAGATTTATTTTCAATACATTGTGCAGCACTACCTAAAATATTACTTAAAGAAAACATCACAATCACAAGAAAAAGGGGGAAATGTTAAAGAAAAAATGAGGAATGTTTCATAAAGTTTTACTCAAAAGGAAGCCTAAGACTTTTTGGATTCAGTAAATGAAGCATAATGAGCTGATGAAGAGACTGGATGAGGCAAAATAAATGCCTGGTCAAAACAATTTAAATGAATCAAGATAATAAAATTCTTAAGTTTAAACATCTGATATTAATATACATTTTTTGGTGCATTTTGCCAGAAGTGACGTGGAGGAAACGGGAAAACTGGGATCAAAAATGTCCTCAGTGCTTCACGCAGAGCTAAGTTTACCTGCAGTTGAAACACCTGCCACCAGGTGGCAGCACAGGAGTTCACACAGCTCTGCAGATGCTTCCTGCAAGGTTCTCTGCAGCGTCTGCACCCTGCACAAGAAGGGTCAAAGCCGTCTCCATCTACTGAGAAGACCGAGGTCCTCTGGGGTTTGAAGGACACGGTTCAACGTCTGGCTCGTTAAATGTGCTGCGGTCTTTAGTATGAATGCCTTATGAGTCGTTTTGTGTGCAAAAAAAGGTCTGGTGCTCCTGTTTCAGGGGTAGTAGACATTAGTTGGAGGTGGAAAACAGCAGGAATTGGAGTTTTATTCATATTTATGATATGCAAACGTCTCACTTCTGATTGGCTAACAGCAACACGACTCTTCCGCTGCCTTTGTTTGCTTTTTTCTTTGGGTAAAACATGAAATGTTGATGTTTTATCTCCACAGATAAACAAACCAGAACATGAAAACCAATTTCCCGTGACGTGGAAGGGATTGGCCTTTTCCGACTTGATTGCTTTTCCCTTCTATTTCCTTTCTATGACAGATCGTATTTCAACAACAACAAAAGGTTCCTCAGTGAACAAAACCTTTACTGACCCTGTAGTAGCCTGGTGTGTACTGGTCTACTGCGAGTTCAGATGCAGCTTTTTAATTGTTAAGGGGGTCGCTCTCAACACCTAGTGGCGAGGCATGGGTATTTTTGCAAGAATTTATAAATAGGCAGAGATTTTCCCATAAAATATCTGTTAAAAAATAACAAACGGGACCCAAAAGACTGACACGAGTTCAAATGAACGAGTAAATCCTGAAAGACCTGCAGCTTTTGATGATAAACAACACTGGAGCGGTTTGTGACTTCCTCTGATAACACATGTATGGAACATGGAACGAAACAAGCTGGCATTAACAACGAGCGAGGGACGTTCACCGCAACGGTGGTGTGATCAGCTACAGACAAAAAGAGGCCCGCTCTCTCCTGGGCTGCAGCCAAAGCAGACAAACGAGCTGCCACTCAATCGCCCGGCTCTCTTCAAAACCACTAATCCTCCCTCTGCTCATCAGTAAACTGACCAACCAACAGGCCGACTCAGCACCTTCTGCCACCGTTGGGAGTCGAATCGTATGTGAGAAGCAGAAAAGTTGGATCTGTAGGGGTTTCTGATGTGAAACGCTACTCTGATCCCATCCATCATGTAGACGCTGGAGCCTTTTGAGCCCATCCTGCCTAGTAGCTTATACCCAACAACCCTCATAACCATGCCTGAATGTGGCCGATTACCTTAACTTATGCTATTTTTACTGTTCCAGCATTCATAAATATCACAGACAACAGAGTTGGAAAACAAAACAGGGTGCGAGGTAAAACCACCAGATAAAACCCATTAGTCATTGCTGCTGATAAGTATTAGAATGCATTTTTGCCAGCTGAGCTGCAAATGTCACCAGATGCATTAAAAAAGATAACAGTACTATTATTTACAGAGTTACAAGATCATGAACTAAAGTCCCAACGGTGGCGAAAGCACAATGCTGAAACGCAACACCATTTAAAATGTGACAAAGAAAGTAAAACCAGCCTTCGTCGGAGGTGGTGTGGGTCACTTTTTGACCCGAAACTGCATCATAAGCATGCACCACAGGCTCTTTTGCATAGATTATGTTGAAATAACTCTGAATCAACATTGTAACTAAGTATTTTAGACTTTTTTGTGATACAAAAGGAGTAAAAGTGAAACATGAAACTTTCACAAAGGCCTTTCGGATCACACTGGTCCTCTCTGGTCTGTTTAAGATGGTTTCTCTAAATGTGACCGACTGTAGATATTTGTTAAGTGCTTGATAAAACCGTAACCACGGTAACGGTTAGATCAGTGTCTCGCTGGGCGGTGACCGTTGTTTACAAACTGAATGACATTCACAAAGCAGTTCCCAAAATGGCCGGGACGGCCTTCCCTTCATGTTGATTTGTAACTTTGAACATGTTGGAACATTTGGAAATAACTCGTTTTTCTAAAACTTTGCAGAGTAATTTAAGCCCGGCGCACACACAAAGATAACCATGCTGATATTTTAGCCTGAAAAGTTCTACCAGATACTCTTCAGTGCGTGGTAAATTAAGAGCTCTGGCCTTCTCAGGACGTTGGACCAATCCAATCATAAATGTCGATATCAAACACGTTGAATCGTGTTGGACTGATGTCACTGGGTGTGTGGTCTGCCACGGACAAAACCCCGTGCTACCAGTTGAATGCGCCGTGTAGCCAATCAGAAGGTGAGGTGCCAGAAGCACGCCCCTCCTACGCCATGATGGTTTACTACAAAGTCACGGTTGATCTGGAGAGGTTGTGAGAGATTTCCTGTCTTATCTGGGAATGTTTGAGAGTTAAATCGTGTTTGACCGTGTTGCTGCACACCACACACCGTAGGACCAAAACACGATTGTGTTATCATCACACGTGGGGTCTTTTTATTTATTTTTTTATCCTGCCGTGACAACCGGACCTTAGTTTAGTTTCTGAGCCTGAGCGTGCAAAAATAAATAAATAAATAAATAAATCAGAGACAATTTCAAGGGAAGCTGATGAAAAAATGAGAAAAAAAAATTGCCAAAAATTTTAAGTAAAATCTGCAAATTTTCACCCACCTTCCCACAGAGGCGTCTGAGGGAACGCTTAAGCGGTCCTCTGCACTTCGTTAACGTGGATTTTACGTGCTTATTCATGATGGAATGACTCCGCCTCCTACTGCTCACCAACAGCCACAACCAGACAAAATAACCCACTTCCCTGCAAACTCACGTTTTCCAACACCGCTGATAATTACGTTGGCCACCATTTAACGCTGGCCTGGCCTCCACCTCAGGTGAGAACCATCGTGTCCACGAGCCCTGCATCGACCCCCGCTTTGGGCGCATTAGCTGCAGACCTTCAGTGTGATCCCAACAGACCACTAAAATAACAACAATAATCACATTTAAAAGCACAGCAGTTGTTTAAAAGGAGAACTTCACTTCACTTGGCCGTTATTCTACAAAACCTTTAAACTAAGAGCTCGCTCTTATTTAGCAACTCAAATAAAGTAAAAACCTAAATTCTAAAATTAAGACGCTGAGAACAAGCTGGAGTTTTGAAATGTTTAACCTTGCTTAAAAGAACCAAAACACTCAGAGGACACCTCGACAGCCGTGTTGCAAGTGGCGATTTATAACGGACGCCATGACGTTTGGAAAATAAAAAGTTGTGGCAGACTGGTGAGGTGCAATGAGAAGTTTTGATCACCCTGCTAATACTGCCTGAACATGCATCTCATTCATCCTTCGCCAGATGCTGTAGGTGAAAGAACGGAGGTGAAACCGAACCATCAACTTAATTACTTCTTTTTGTAACAGCAGCTCACCGTAACAAACCTTCTTGGTCAGCAGCAGCTGTAAAAACAGAAGGTGGGAGATAAGATAGCGCCTCTCCACAGAAGCTCGTCTCACTCTCAGCGAGTCGGGTACAACGTTCCTTCATACTGCGGATGTAGATCCAAGCCAGAGTCCAATCAAAAATGAGAATAAAGTTCAGAAAGAGCATTAGATTGGTGGAGGAGAGGTCCGTGGAGGCATCAGGTTTATAACAGAGGAGTTAAAGTGTAGAGAAATGCCCAGGAATCGTAGGACAGCAGCAGGCAATCCTGGTGTACTACAGTACAACAGTAGGGTTGACTTAGAAGCTGAGCGCAGCTTGAGGTAGCAGCCCCGGACTGGACATCAATCATCTTTTGAGCCGTCAGTGACAGGAGCGGCGGGGGGCGACTGCGCCCCGCGGCTTCGCTGGTACAGACGGTAGCCCTTTCGACAAAGCAACACGAACCAGTAGACCTGTGGTGCCAGGATGCACAAGTTCCCCAGGTTGGCGGAAAGAGGCAGGTGGAAGGGCACACCGTAGAGAGGGATGCCGTAGTGCCGGCCGTACATCCAGTACATGAAGGGGAAGAGGGCGATGCGGCACATGAAAAAGGTAAGCAGTACCATACCGCCATTGGCCTTGTGAATCCAGCACTCCTGGAGGCCGAGCTGGTGGAGGAGACAAGAGGAGGAGGGGTGGAAACGAGGGGAGAGGGTTTAGGAAATCAAATTAAAATTGTGCATCTGTTATTATTTTAACACATAGCTGAGCAGTTCGACCCTCACTGCGGCAGACTGATGAGTCATTAAATGAAGTTTGCTGTTTGTTGTGTTTTTAGCTTGGATGTGAGCGATGAGGACGGATAAGGAGGCCGTCTTTTGCAGCCTTTTCTGGGTTTTTAGGTGTTGCTTAAATAAAAAATCTGGCATCCAGATTTAGAAAACATGGCTTCTTCCAACTATTCAATTTATGAGTCAGTTCATCCAAATCAGCATCAGTATGATAGCTAACCGGCCTCACTAGATTTAGAGGTCAACCGCTTCGATTGTGCCCGACTTTAAATCGGCTTTACAACGCAGCTATGTCGGCTGATGCAGATATACCGTATTTTCTGGACTATAAGTCGCACTTTTTTTCATAGTCTGGCCGGTCCTGCGACTTATACTCCGGAGCGACTTATATACCAAATTATGTAGGCTATACCGCGCTGCTGCGGGCCGGCTCCGAACCAGGAATGAGCTCCTATGTCCCGCTGGGAGGGTTTGAATCACCGCCATCCTCTGCTGGAGACCGTGGCACGCGGCTGCGCCCGCGTTGTTTATTCTGTTATTGTTACCGGTACTTGTCTTGCATTGTGAAACGCTTGGTGTCAGATTTTGTAAGAAAAATTATAAAATTTCCTCCCAAAATGCGACATATATGTTTTTTTCTTCTTCATTATACATTTTATGGCTGGTGCGACTTATACTCTGGTACGAAAATGTATAATTACCGGCCCGATATGTCAGCCGACCGATATATCGGTCTACCCTTAATTAGTTTGCACGATAACAATATTGAAGTTACCGAGTGTGGTTTTCTCACACGGAGGAAAAAAAATGACATAACATTTGAAGAAGAATTAGCATAAGGAGAGCTACAGAGTTGCCCAACAACAGACAGATGGACCCTCTGCAGGGAAAACACCTCAGGAACATCCAGCAGCGTGTTGATCTGGCAGCTTTGCTTGGCTAACAGCAGATGTCAGCAGAGAGCTGAAGGGCCGGTGCTTCCACCTGTTCCACCGCCAGGTTCTTCTATTCTTAGATTAATGCACTTGTAAGTCGCTGGATGTGTTCATGAGCATCTGGGATGGAACTAACGACAACATGAGCTGGAGCTTCTGTTTAGCGAGGAAATGAGGGTGAGGGCCTCATGGCTGAACGTTGCTGACTGGCGTTTTTGTTTTGTCGAGCCATGCGCCTTAATTATTGATAAAACAGGGACAAGCTAGCTCCCGAATGAAACTGGAGATACTCTGGTTGGTTGATGACGTAAGGCTCTACACTCCTCCTGAGCAGGAGTTACAAGAGGAAAAAAGACGAATGGCTTCATTTAGAAGAAGCTAATGACGACAGACTTGGATTGTTAGACGAACACTAAACTTAGAAATTCTAGTTTTATTTATAAAGCACTATAAAAAACATGAGTTCAACAAAGTGTTGTGGAGCAAAAAATAAAATCAAAGCCAATGAGATGTGGCTGCCAAATGTAGCGTCTTAGTTTAGACACCACACCGGTGCTGCAGCACAAACAAGCTTCCATGCAAAGTGAAATAAAAAAAGAAACCAGCATCAGCAGATCTGAACTCATTTTCCTGGAAGACCTGCGCCCTTTGTCACGCTCAGTGCTCTTTGGAAGAAAGTAAATGTTTGTATTTTCAGAAAAAAGCCAATATGTAATCAATTTATTTCCACCTAAAGACAAATACAAAAAAAAAACACAGTTCAGCAGGCCTGTTGTCCCTAGTTACAGTTGCTCAGCTATGATTGGAGAAACTGCTGCAGGTGTTGCATGTTTACCGGTAGCTAATTATTTTCCAACTCAGAAGCTGTGGGCTAGTGGAACATTTCCTCCTGAACGGTACAGTCCAGGAAACGAGAAAGGTGCAGGACCTCCCAGGTTGTTTCAGTGGGATGCTCGTCTGTATGTGCTGTCTTACCTGGATAAGTATCTTCCCCAGGGAGACAAAGGTGGTGCTGAGCTCTGTCAGAAACAAGCAGCCGATAAAGAAATCCCCCTGGTCCTTTCTGAAGAACTGAGGAACAGACAGAGCACAAAGTCTGAGCAGATAAACTAAAACATGACGGGGAGAAAAGAAGACAGCCGAGTTACATAAATAAACTCAGTCTGGGAAAGTACCTGGCATGAGTGATGGAGGTAAACTGGTTGGTTTAATTTGCAAACCGTTGTTTGCGGTTAATTGTTAATCGGTTTCAAAGAATGAAAATGTTTTTGTTTCCACCTCCTGGAGGGATTACCTGAGTGCACACAGGACTGAGTGACAGAACAGCCCCTGTCCCTTTTCTCGCTCAAACCCATTTCACACACCAACCGACATTCCCCCGTCAGATGGGAAATTTCACAAATGTGACATTGGGGTCAACAAACATGGTGAAGGAGGAGCACGCAGCCTTATTAACTGATTGGCTAAATGTCACATTTGACAGGCAGCACGCTAGTTTGTCCTCGATATTAGGCCAAGACAATCCCACATGTTGAGTATCCCCCCGATTTAGGATTAGAGCAGTCCCAACACGCTTCTGAGCACACCGGAACACACACCGGAATATCCGACGAGATTATCTTAAGAGTTAATTGAGTGCATCTTTCAGACTGTCAGAAGGGGAGAATCAGGTCAAAAATCTGCATAATAATGTTGCTGCGTTGCTTGGCCGAAGTTGAGACCTGGTGACTTATTGCATCTCCAGGGTGTGCCACAAGGTTCTGCTACAGGACCCTTTTTGTTTTTATTAAACCCACTTCCCTTTTCCTTTATTTAAGAACCCTTTGTGTTATCCATCTCAAAAAGTACAAAGTTACACTTACTTCATTTAGTTACAGGAGTACATAAATACTCAAGTTGTGTTCTCCAAACTAGAATTCAACCAAATCTGTCATATCTGGCCTTTCCAGGAAGCTTACGAGAAAAGAAGTGCCTTGTTGTTTCAATGTGATCTGCTTTAGAAATGTCTGAGAATCCAGATTCAAAATCAATCTTTGACACAAGTTTGGAAAAATTCTTTAAGCAGAGGCTCCAAGCTTGAGTTAAAGATGCAATATGTAGAAATGAAGTAAAGTGACACCCTGTGGTAAAATGTGGTTACTGCAACCACTAAACAACTGGAGCTTTTTGACAGCCATCGTCAAACTATGATAGTCGACGCTGCAGTATTAGCTCGCAGGAGACACGGCACCCCCACACTCACTGATCGTAAACAGTAGCCACGCCCCTCCTTCCTTTGTTTTGAAAGGAGGAAAACGGGCAATCCCCACAGCCAGCCGGATATGAAATAGGATTTATAACCTTCCTTTCAAAATGACTGAAACATTAGACTCTTTTGGGATTTTCTCACTGGAAAAGTCTCACTATATTCTTACATACTGCACCTTTAAAGTTCCCAAGAATATTTAAATTTTTGGGTTTATTGACACTCTGGAGCCTGACCCCCGACTACACAAACAGCACATTTGAATTCAAACTTTAGATTTAGGTGAATTGAAATAAAAAGCTATGCTAACTCCCATCATAGCTGCAAAGAGATGAACAGAAAGTTTACTCCACTTCAGTTTCACCCACACTAAAAGGCCAGAGAGAGCTAGGTGAAGGTAGAGGAGGGAGTGTTGTCATGTGCATAAGTAATGAATGAAGCTTTCAAATATTGACCAGAAGCACAAAGCTGAGAGGTGAGTGATGCTACCCTAGAATAGGTAAGTCAGTCTAGATGGATAAAGAGACTCAGAACAAAAGACGAGCGTTGCCTGGTGACCTGGCCCGTAGCGTGCTGGTGAGGAATAAAACAGGAGACGGAGCTTTACCATCTGCTGCCTAAAGAATGACAGAAACCACAAACAGATCGTTTTCATGTGCTAACCTCAGTGCATCTGTTCAAAATGCACAACTACTTTACTTCATCTATAAAGTTTTTCTCTTATGTAAAACTAGTCATCTAAATTATTGGGATATTAAGTGTAACTTAAGTGTAGGAGGTAAATAAAATAATCTCGCTTTGCCAATTTTGTTTGTTACACAGGATGTGATTCTGATTCTGAGTGTCTATCAATGAAAGCATTAAAGTGTCTTGCTAATCACATGAGCAAACATGCAAAATAAATGCATTTATGTCCCAAGAATCATCTTTAACCACAAGTTAAAAGCTCAACAAGAACGTAAAATCAATGGACAACCCGTCTGCAACACCTGACGCTGCTGTTAAAGGCCAACCAGATTAGGCTAAATGAACTTCTTGGCTGCCACACTTTAGTTTTCTCCTGAGAAAAACCCAGATCAGAAGTGATTTACATTCTCTAAAGTCTTTGAGTCATTTCAGATCTTTAAAGCCTCCTTTCTCTGAATGGCAACCTCAAAGTTTTTGTAAAAAGGAACATATTTTAGCTATGGCTTTAATCGCTTGGTCATGCACATACTTAAAGCTACAATCTGGAGTATTTTCGTCCGACGACACCATCCAGTGGCTGAAAATTGCATTTCATGCTTTGCTGTTTTCATTTTTGTATTTACGTCTGAAAGCTCTTGATCATGAACGTAAACCTCTAGCCAGCAAACAGAGCTAAAACATAATGTTTAACGATTACTATTCTCATGTTATGTTGTTAATTAATTTATAAATATTTAAAAAACTTACTGGTCCACGAGAAAGGTTGCCAACTCTTCATCTCTCAAGGTACGTCCGCAAATGCTCACGCATGCTCTGTGATTGACATCTGTACATAAGCAGATGTTTAACACTACTGGCTAATGCCGAGCGGCGGACAGTTTGCATGAGGCTCTACGAGACGCCCTACGGGATGCCTACATTTTATTACAGTACAGGGTTACACCTATTGCACACTGGAAGTGTCAGGGGGCGAAACATCACTGCTTCAAATTTAATCCACATTAGTCTATGAGGGTGCTTCAAACCTGCAATTTTCAGGCACGTCACAAGCGACACAGACCGGGTTCTATTTTTGCCACCTGCTGGGATACGTCAATTTCCACATTTAACAAAGAGCTAGACAGGAAATCACAAACAGTTTCACTGTAAACTAAATAAAAGACTATTACAGCAATGCAGATTCATATTTACTTAGCTTACGTCACTACATGTGACCTGACGGCTTATTTACTCCCGGAATCGTTGGAGAAGTGCAGCGGTGTGTTTCTCATGGCTTTGATCCTGGCAGTGCAGCGGAACAACATCATATGACACCAAACAGCGAAATCAAACGTGATTTTTTTCTTTTTGGTTTAACTTAAGCCCTAGGCCTATTTGAAGCCTACTCCTCAAAAAATGGTAAAAATGGTATTTAATGGTTAAAATTGTTTAGACAGCCTTGTAGTGCTGGGTTTGCTGATTAATTTGATGGGAATTATTACAATTTCTTCTGTGGTGTGAGGGTTGTTTTGGGCCTGTTAAGGAACTAACGTACAGGTCACCCGCCTGGGGGACCCAAGGGCTTAAGGGGTTCAGGGGTTAAGGGGGGTTAAGTGCCAAATGTGGCAAGGTGGAGAAACGAAGGCCCGGGCGGGATTCGATCCCCAGACTCCCGGGTGAGAGTCATGCGCGCTAACTAGTCAGCCAAAGGGACATCCCCTTGGCCAAGTAGCCAGGGTGCATGATCAATCGGGACAAAGTGATAGGGCGCTCACACTGCCACATCTTCCCCCCTCTTTCCACAAGCACATCCTCATGCTCCCGCGCAGGGTGCCACAAACTTCACATCCATGGACCTACTTGACAGTACTACATGGACCCTGCCAACAACGCCAAATGTGTGGCAAGGTGGAGAAACAAGCAGATTCAATAAAAAAAAAACGTGAACTTTGAAGTCTCGAGGGATTATGTGATCTCATGAGTCCAGCGAGACTCTGCTGGTGTGCACTGGACCGCATTGAAGCTCACGAGTAAACTGTTCCGCACCACTGAAGCTTCCAGTGTGAAATAGGGGTAAGTCTATCACTTTTATGGATTTCTTAAAAAAAAAAAAAAAAGCATACACAAATCCTGAAAGTAGAACATTGTGACTTTAAAATAAAGCACACAGCAGATTTTATGTCATCACTATATCACACCTGGTTGGGAGGAAGCTGCTTAATTCCAAATCTGAGGTGGATTGTTGATCAAATAAAAGGCTAAAATTCATGAATAAATATCGACTTGTTCAAAAAAGAAATGAGTCCCATCGACTCAAATGGATCCATTTGTTGCTAAGACTATGCACTGATGAGGAAAGCGTCATACTGTGGCAAGCTTTCTAAGGCACATCACAAAGATTTCTGATGGATTTAACCAATGAGACTGTAGCTTTAAACAGGCTCAGGGCACGGTGGATATATCACTCTAGGGCTGCACAATATATCGTAAATATAAAGTTATCGCGATATCAGCATGCACAATATACATACCGCAAAGAACAGATAAATATCGCAATGAATGATCAGCTCAAATGTTTGCTACCCATAATGCATTCCGTCAATCAAACAGAAGCATGATGTTTTTTAACAAGAGCTCTTCACCCATTTGGCCAATTGGGTGGGTTCTCATAGGTTAGATGCCCGCCCCCGAGGCGGACGGCACTTAATTTTAATGGTTGGCAAACACCTGAGTTAGCTTTGTTCTGCTGATTCTGCTTATCCTGGGATCCACCGATTGCCTTTTCTTGTATATTTTCTTTTTCTCTTTCCTCACATCTTTTGCTTTTCTCATTTTTATGATTTTTTTTGTCATTTTTTAATTTCTTTGTTTTTGATTATTTTTGTTCTTGAGTTAAGTTTTCATTTATCGCAAGTAATATCGTCATCGCAATATTAATCACTGTTATTGAAGGTTTTCCTAATATCGTGCAGCCCTATATCACTCTGTTACTTTTCTCACTAAGGAGAGCAGTATATCTGGACCGTCAACCGTTTTAATGAAGACCATTCCAGAATGTCTCAACTTACTCATTTTGCAGGAAATTTCTACATGTTTGAAGAGATTAGCATGACAGTTTTCCCTCAAAAACAGTCCCAGCATTGTTGCATCAATCTGAAAC